ATACACTCTCTCTAGCGCGGAATAATGAGGCCGCTTGGACCACGTGACTAGGCAACACTACATTGACACGTTCCTCGAAATGTCCCCAAATTTTATCCAAACTGCTTCTTCCTGCCCCTTTGAAAATTTTCGGATCAAACGACATCAAAAATAGCAAATTCAGATGACCTCTTACGAAACATGCAATTAAAATTGTCTTTCTATGATTGGTGCATTTCGATCCTCTCGTCAAAAAATAGTCAGAAGCCAATCATCTAAGCGGACCTCTTAGGAAACACGAGTTTACTTCAACGGGTTCAAAAGGTCATGGTTTCTGATTTGTGATCGGTGGATTTCAATCCGTTTTGTGAGTTTTGTGTTTCAGAAAACTTAGCGTAGGTTAAAATATTACAATGGATAGAATGCTCGAAAGCTAAAAGACTGATATCGCAAGAAGATCATTGACTGAATAGAGAGACTAGTAAGTTTTAGCACAACAGCCTTGAGGATTGCATCATGAGGTCACCAGTTTAACACACTTGTTATGCACCAGTCATTTGAAACCCCCGGACCCCCCCCCCTCGGGGATGACCGGGGTATTGCGGGGACATTCACTTCATGTTCACCAAATATTGGTTCCCCGGTAGTCGGGGGATACGCTAAAAGTCACGGTCTTTGCCTCCCGGACCGGGGGATAAGCGGGGCAGTCACTTTATGGTCAGCGGTTTTCATTTTCGCGCCGCATACTAATTCCGCATGATTCCGCATACATTTTCATCGCTTCGTACCGTGACGATGTTTTGCAAAGTTAAATATCGAGGCGTAAAAAAAGCGGTCATAGCCGATGACTTGAAGAGTTTGGTGAACAAAGGTAGGCATATTTTCACTGATATTATGTAGATTTGTAATTATAATATGCTTTAAAATGCATCTAATGCACCGATACCATCTTATTCGCGAATTCTTCATAAACACTTGACCTGGCTTGACCTATCGACAGCTAGAAACGACACTTAAAGCTTAAACTATGCATTTTTTTGCGCTCTTTGGCTTGATATCAAAGTGAGCATAACTTTTCTATAACTTCCCTTCTGTTTGGATTTCGATACATTGACCAAAAAGCTATGAAAAGGGGTTTATGAAAAGTTTTTATATTCCGATCACGCATGCTTTCAGTCACGTGCCAGATCAGCCAACGCGAAATTCGATCCATACAACTTCGTGCTTCCTACGCATTCTTTTATAGGGCTTTTTGCATTTGGTTGGTAAAATTCGATAGGTATAATTTATAATTTTGTGATCTTGCTTTTTGTGACATCAAGATGTAAAATAGAAAGATGACGCTGAAATCTTTAAATACTTGTCTTTTCTTGTCTATCGAGGGGTTGCAAGTGTTGCCATTGCTGCTGCGAAAGCAAGTTGTTAATTTCACGGCTGTCATCCTATATGTCATCTCTTGCTACTAGTTGACGTTTGAAAGGGAGTACCTTGTATGTTGGACATATGGGGGCGGGGGAGTTCACCATTCACTTTTGCCCCAGGGACCGGGGAGTTCACTGGCTCTCACATGCATAAAAAGTGAATGCCCCGCTAATGCCCGAGGGGGGGGGTCCGGGGGTTTCAAAGGACTGGTGCATTATATTTAAAGAAATTACAACTTATGTATTTGCTGCTTAAACAAAACTCTCACATCTGTGCCGTCTCAAATAGAAACTGAATCCTCAAGAGAGAAATACCAGTAGATAGGCAGTAGGTGTCAGTAAAGAACCATTTCGTATTGTTCACACAGTTTTATCAACTATGACAAATTTGTCACCCAGTACTGAAAAAAAACTCCGGGGTACACTGATGAAACTAGAATCTCCCCTCTTGCGAGAGCAAAAAAGATGCGTCGATCCTTCGGACAAGTCATGCATTATAAATCAATATAAACAAACGTTTATGAGGATTATGGATGATCTTACTAGAGATCGAAGCCGTTTTACCAAACCTCATCTTACTGTCGGGTTCGTTTATTTTACAAACATCCACCTCGATTCCGCCTTTTTTCTTCCGTCTTCCCTTTTGTTCAATATATGAATATCAAAACGGATAGAACAAATTTTGTCAAAAAGGTACCTAGTTTCCTGATTTGTTTGCCCCTTTACCCTGTCACTCCACAGAGTCATTTTACTACGCGATTTGCATATCAGAAATGAAACAAAACAATGTCAAAAAGTACCTAGTTTCTTTATATGGTGGGATCTTCTTTCTCCCGAAACCAGGCGTGCGGCACAGTTCTGAACTCGTTGCAGCTTATCTATTTCTTGCTTAAGTAAGCCACAGTATAAACTGTTACAAAAATCCAAAAAAGGCATGACGAAAGCATTGACCATCATCTTGAGGTGATCCTTGCTCAGTTACTTCCTCGATCTGCCGATAAGTCGGATTGCCAGCGTAGCCTGTATAGCATTGAGCTCTCTATCTAGGTTGACACCAAGATTATAAACTCGGCCTGATGGTTTTACTCTAGCGTTGAAAAGGTGCTGAATAACGGGAAAACAAAAGAGGTTCTAATTTCCGACTGCTAGATGTTGTGTTACCTGCAATATAACAGACTGTGTCCGACCAGTAAAATTAGACGAAAACCATTTAAGCACTGTGTAGGAAAAACCGAACTAACTACCCAGTCTACCCACAAGTGTAGTATGGATAACATTGTAGGGTGTTAAAACGTGCGGCTGACAGATCAAGCGTTACCAAAACAACATTGCGACGGTCAATAGTCGAAGGTACATCAGTCATTACTTGAAGCAGGGCCGTCTCGGTAAAGTGATGTTTACGGTAGACGGATTGCATAGAAGACATTGAAAGATTTTTTTACAAGTATGAATGGAGAGATTAGAGACCTCTAGTATCAGGTTTTTCATGGGAAACCGGAAACTGCAGTTTGCAGTTTGCAGTTTCACGCTGCCGGGATTTCAAGTTTTAGCAAGGCGTTCATTGCCGCCACGTTGTATTTCGTCAAGTCGAAGTGTATATGACTTTTATCGCCCAAAAACATTAAGGCAAAATCCATCAAGGAATGAGTAATTTTTTCAGTGGACAAAAACCTTGCACCAGAATAATTTAAACAATATCGCATTCTTGTTTTAAATTTTTCAAGGGCTATAGATGTAATTAGTTATCTGTAAAAACACCAAAGAAAATTTCTTATGGGAGCTCGAGAAAACGAATGGCAAATGTCACAAAATGACATCTTACACATGAAATTTTCAGAATTTTACCCGTGTTTTCACAATTCTTGTGAAATTTAACATTTATTCAGTTTCTCGGGCTCCCATGAGAAATAGTCTTTGGTGTTGTTACAGATAATAAACTATATTAGTCTATAGCCCTTGAAAAGTGTAAAAAAGAATGCAGTATTGTTTAAATTATTCTGGTACAAGGTTTTTGTCCACTGAAAGTTGAAATTACTCTATTTCCTGATGGATTCCGTCTTAATAATTCATTGATTCGGGTTCAAAAATCTAATTAGCACATCGCAGGTGGAATAGGAAGCTTCTTCGTGCTTTAAACGTGAAGCTGTACAATTTTTAGCAGCAAAACACCTTGCCGTAAATCTCTTACCGCTGGAAGCCCTTCCGGCCGTTCAAACGTGAACTCGGGTTTACGGTTTTCCATGAAAAACCTGATGCTAAAGGCCTCTTTTTAGAATCATGTTTACGGCCAACAGTTAACGTCAGATTTAAGTCGACAATTTCTCAAATCATATAGGAAATGAGCGGTTTAAAAACTGTGTAAGATAATTCTTGTGGATGAAAAAAGCATGAAACTACTGATTTTTTTTTGGCAGAATAAACTGTAAACGAAAAATTAAGGGAAAACTTGGTCACATGGTACAAATTGACGTTCTCTAATGTGTTTGACCGCGACAAACTTCTCGATGACTTTCGCTGGGAAAAGTGTATTGGCTACAGAGAAAATAGTTAGCACATAACCAGGAATTGACATCAGAAAGCTACAACTTTTAGTCACAGGTTATTTTTTCGATAATTAGAAAAACACAAAGCCTACATGCGGCAATCTCTCTTAACAAAAGCTATTTTTAGTATAAATAGTTTAAATTGATTATTGTCTTTACTAAGGAAGGCCTACAATCAATTCGTTGTCGGACGGGTAACATGCATCTAGCGTTTTAAGAGCCCAAAAAGAACCTATAAAGCTAAAATTATAAGTTGACTCCCAAATACAAAAAAAATTGTAAAAGAACGTAAGGTTCTACTACGTGGGTTTTAGAAGCATTTCGAGGCAAAGAGTGATTTGTCTCTTTCAGAAAGGACCTATTCAAAAGGAAAATTTTATATCAAAAGCACTCCACCGCCCCCCCCCCCCCCCCCCAAAAAAAACAACTCATAAAACACCTCATCTCCCCGCACCACCACAAAAAAAAAAAATAATAAAATAAACACCCACACAGCACCCAGAAAACACACACCAAGAAGTGTTTTTTTTTACGTATAAAAAAAAATGATTGCAGATATATGTGCTGCTGAACAGGGGGGATGAATAATTATTTTGTTGTTATTTTTTGGGGGAGGGAAGAGAGGGGTTTTGTTTGGGTGGGTTTTTTTGGGGGGGGGGGGGGGGGGGGGGCGGTGGAGTGCTTTTGATATAAAATTTTCCTTTTGAATAGGTCCTTTCTGAAAGAGACAAATCACTCTTTGCCTCGAAATGCTTCTAAAACCCACGTAGTAAAAACCCCCCCCCCCCCCCCCCCCCCCCCCCCAAAAAAAGTACCTCTTTAATACAGTCTTACTCTGGACTGTCCCTAAAAATGAACGTAATTGATAATGTACTCCACCGTACGTACTCAGAAACATGTTCAGTGCATGATTATTACTAGTCAAAATAGGTGTCATTGACTTTGCTAGAGCACTGTGAGGTCGCCTTGTGGTAGTAATGCGCATTGCTCAAAAAAAGAGGGGGCAAACTCGTTTCTAAGGCGTTTCCCAACTCATTGTTAGTCTACATTACTGCGGTTAACAAGTGTTTTTTTGGTACCTACCTTCATTTTTCAAAAGGTTCTTTCGGTAAGCTTTGTACTCCTCTTCACTGATAGTCACCGTTAGTTGCACCGAATCAAGACCCCATTGTTGTAGAATGTCCTCTGTCACAAGGTACCTTTGCGCCACTTCTTGTAGATGGCCCGTGCAATAGTCTTTCCAGAGTTCGTCAAGAATACGAAGCGAGGTACACCGCACTGTGATTATCAAGCTTCCCGTCTTGACATCAACAAGTATTACTTGGCGCACCTTTTGCATATACTGAAGAAAACCATTTAACTCCTCTAGATTTGAGGGGTGAATGGCCTGAAGATAATTATCTGCAATAAGATTCAGAACTTCTTGTGAAGAAGGACCTCTTCTATCCACGACATTTTCCTTCCCACTAACATTTTGGGTTGATGAAGCTCCTCCTTGTTCAATGGCGTCACAATCAATCTGAATGTCAAGATTTTCTGCTGAAACATATACAAAAATATTTCACTTTACCTTGTTCGTATTGTGGTCATAGTTGAAAGCAGAGCAGATTTTATTTTTCTGAGTAGAAAGGGGGGAGCTACAATCTCAGACAAAAAATAGCTGGGACACTTCCAACCCCAGCGGGGGGGACTCCGCATATGAAAGTGGTGGGGATGCTCGTCGGAAATTTTGAATTAAACCCCTAAAGGAGACCGATCTGGGCGTGGCCCAAGCTTTTTTGATCCCTAAAAGAGACCATGTTAAAACACAGACAAATGAGAAAACTTGGATTATATGAATGGAGTAAATAAAACGAATTAAAAATACACATATCAAATATATATTTTTATATTTTTTCGCGTGCAACCCTAAACGAGACCTTCACGGCTAAATATGATGGTGTTTTACCCAGAACACCCTAAATGAGACCAAATCCGAAAATTTACACCCCTAAGCAAGAAGACGAGCATCCCCACCACTTTCATATGCAGAGTCCCCCCCCCCTCCCCCGGGCTTCCACCCAATGCTGTCTTTTTGCTTCTGGCCCGTCACAACAAGAGGGTAAGAAGACAGCAAAGTGTCCCAACAACTTCAACTGAGACTGTAGTTCTAGAAAGGGGTGCTTATTCATTCTTCAGAATCTGGGACTCAAGATTACATTTGTCTCAGGTTTCAAATGAAAGAACAATTATTGGGGAAACTGTAACATTAAAAAAAGTAGAACGTTTGTTCACTATATAAACAAATTTGACTGTACTGTGTGGCTTTGAAGATTTTGTCGCGACTAAGTTCTGCGAAGGAGCTGCATCCTTCATGACCAACCATGTGATGTCATCAAATGGCTCATTCTCTGGTATTGGACATGTTATGTTATATTCATTGAAGATGAACATACTGTACACCATATATTCAGTAAGGAATTTTTAAAAGGGGTGCTTATCAGGGGCACCCAACAACGGTTTCCTCCTAAATGCATTGAAATCACTTTTTAGGCCATCCACAGTCCTTTTTGATCTTCAGAAATACAATCTAACCAGCGTTATAAAATTTATATCTGTTCAGTCATCCTATAGCAACTTGAGTCTTTTCCAAATCACCAAGGCTTCAGTACTATTTTCCCGAAAATTTTAGATGCAATTGAAAGTTTGACGAAAGTGAAATTTTTTTTGATGCTTCTTTTTGCTTTTCCTTCCAAAAATAGCTTAACCTGGTGAGTGAAACGTGAAAAATTAAACTTCAGAGGATTGTAAGGAATTTATTGGATAAGCTTTGAAAATAGGCCATTTGCACTAAGAGGCCACGTGACATCGTTTTTATGAAAATGATTACATGATTTTGCCTACGAAAAACGATTAGTGGGTCATATCTTAAACAAAATAATAGTCATTTTGTTTTTCAAACCCGCACCATTTTCTTAAAATGAATAAGTTCATAAAAAATGGTTACGTGACCAAAATGTGATTTTTAAAATTATGAATTACCTCTCTCTGAACACAAATTTTGCACTTAAACTTCACGGAAAATGTTGAAAAGATGATGTGATAACGTTTACAGCACATCTGAGCGTAACTATGAAACGTTGAACAAGATAGCAGCAAGAAGTAGTTTTGTCCGCCATGTTAGAGGGCAAAAACATGCCCTCCAACATGGCGGCCGATACAAATCATACTACTTTGCTGAAAAATCAAAGTGCCATAAAAATATCTCCCTTAAATGCGTTTCCTCCCAAATTTCGGGTGTAAGATAAGTTTTGTGTGCTCTAACAATTTTTGGCATCAGCAAGATTCCAACTCATTGTTTAAAGGAAGCATTGGTCACGTGACCTCTTAGTGCAAGTGCCCTATTGTACATGAATGGAATGGTCATCAAGAAATTTTTAGCCTTCCTCAAAATATAGAAAATTCTAGGCAATTTTTACTTCTACAAACAGATATTTTTACAGAAAACAGTCGTTGGGTGCCTCTGGCTTATTTGATATTTTCAGCCTAAAAGGGGGCGTTTATCTGAAAGGGGGTGCTAATTATTTGGAACTAATATGTTAAAAAATTTTGCATGAATGCAAGCTACAACTTTGACTGGTTCTGTGCTAAAACATGAGTTAAATCATGTCAAGAGAGAAAAATCAAAAGAACAGCCTTTGTTCTGCAACTGTTTGTTTTTCACCGACCCTAAGCTAAATGCTGAGGCCTGAGAACTGACTCTATAAAATTTGTATAATTTCACTAAGGTCACATTACTTTTGTAATTAATCACGTCATCACTGATTAAAATGGAACTTGATTCAATGAGCCATAATCACTAAACTTTAGAGTAAGAGAACATTCAGCGGATATTTGGCATTCTTCAAAATTTCTCTGCAGTTAAATTATTAAGTATTTGTTTGTTATTGTTGGCATAGCAGTCAAGGCACCATCTTTTTTTAAGATCTACATGTTATCTGCATTAGTTGTTTAAAAATGAATTATAAATACTACCAGTGTAGTTGTTGTCTTTTTAATTCAATTACAAGTTAAATTTTTCAGCGGAAGGGCATCTTTAGGCAATAAGTTTTTACAGTCTTACTAGCCATGATCAATTTTTTTCTGAATTTTTAAGTAGAAACATAGGACTGATACCACAATGCATGAATTATTGTTTTTGTTTCAAGTCTGCTTCCCAGAATTTTTCATCTTAAATGACCCACCCCTCATCCTAACATTGACAAGATCGGGCCGATATCATGTAGGGGTCAGAGGGAATGAGACATGTGATCAGCTGACTGCCATTGTCTTTTTGCTGCATTCACAATGGAGCCATTTTTAGATTGGGCTTTGCCACAGGCAGCCCAATGATTATAACCTCACGGGGTAGGGATGTTGTTCTATTGGATAAATTGAACAAAATTATTCATTTTTCATTTTTCAAAAGACATGGGTCGGTCAAAAACAAAACACTGTATTTGGACATGGCTTTAGTAAACACCTAGCTGAATGCAACTAGCCTGAATGTCAAGCATTATTCTGGAGGGAAAGGAGGGGAAAGAGAAGCAAAAATTAAAGAAAAGAATAGGCTAAGGGAGAAGCAAACTCTCCTCTCCCTACTGGCCGGTCATTTTAAAACTTCACCACCCCCTCTCCTGGGTGGGAATTTTAATTTTCAGTGGACAAAAACCTTGTACCAGAATAATTTAAAGAATAATGCATTCTTTTTTACATTAATTTTTTAAGGGCTAAAGATGTAATAAATCATCTGTAGTAACAGTACAAAGAAAATTTCTCATTGAAGTCCGAGAAAATGAATGTCAAATTTCACAAGAATTGTGATTACAGAGGTAAAATTCTGAAAATTTCATGTGTAAGATGTAATTTTGTGAAATTTGACATTCATTTTCTTAGGCTCCCATAAGAAATTTTTTTGGGTGTTACTACAGATGATTTATTACATCTTTAGCCCTTGAAAAATGAAAAAAAGAATGCAATATGCTTTAAATTATTCTCGTACAAGATTTTTGTCCACTGAAAATCAAAATTACTCAATTTCCTGGTGGATTCCGTCTTAAATTCTCTCTATGACCCAGTGTCTGACAACATGGTTACGACAGATGTTATCTTTCTCATGGCGAGATGGAGGAGTTTACAAGTGAAGAAACAGCTTTTGCAAGTAAATGACTTGTTCGACAAAGATTTCAAAAGCTACACAGTAATTTTGGATGTAATTTACCCAAAAAAGTGTCTAATTTTTGTAGTTCAATAATAATATTGCCAATCAACATCATGAGGATTTTGTCAGTCCAGGTGGCTGCCATAATACCAGGTTTTTCATTCTCATGGAACAGAGAAAGAAATATATATAGATAAGATGTAAAGTGAGAAACTGAACTTCTATCAAACAAAAAATTCTTTCAGAGGTACCTTTTACAGTCAGCTACTTATTTCAAAAACAGTGAAAATAGTGAGAAATATGGGCGACATCAAGTAGAGGGTCAAGAAATATAATATCACTGCCTTGTTCAAAACAAAGTATCAAGATCAGGCCTGTCTTAAAAAGTTCAGATGCCTGGGGGTTTCCCAGAGGCCTAAACAAGTATGTGCCACTGAACATGATAATTAGGTTTTCAGGAACTTGAGTTCAGGGTACACAATTTCAGTACTAAAAGTCTTCTGTCTTTTTACACTGGAAGCCTTTAAAAGAGTGTGAACGTTAGTGACAAGTAGTTTACTTTTCTGCTACAACAATCTTTTTCGAAAAATTTTACTCCATGATGTTAGTTTTAGTTACGGTTGAACCTCTATTAAATTACCACCCTCGAGGTACCGGCAAGTCGTGGCTTGGAAGCTAGCCACTCCGTCTAGAGGTTAAACATAAATTAGCACCATAAGTTATACTTTAGAAGAAACTATACCTTGTTTTGAAAAAAAAGGGGGAAAAATGGGAGCAGCATTTGTGGTCCAATTTCAGTCACCACCTTAAAGTGCCCATCACCTAAAATTTTTTGTTTTCTTATCTGAAACTACACCTTGTTAAAATAACTTCTGCGAAAAAATTTTGCGAATTTGAACCAAAGACGATTTTTTAGAATTTTTTAAAAACGTTCAAATTTGCCGCCATTTTGGCACACCATTCGTCTTAGTCTTCTCTCGGAGTATGACGTTTACATGATCATGTACTTTAAGGAACACGTGACCTTATCGACAGGAAAACATCAAGAGTTCTGATAGGTTTTTCTTTTTCAGAAAAACTTTCTTCTTGCGAAGACATTGTGATTCAATCCTTACTTGTAATTGATGTTTTTTGTGTACAGCCGGTGAAGGCAAGGTAATGTGAGTTCCTTAATTTACGTCATATGTGAGCCTGCTAGTTTGCATGGTCAGCGGCGCAGGTGTACCGCAAAAATGTAGACTTCAGAAATTGGTAAAAAAAATCGCTTTTTGTTCAAACCGGAAATTTTTTTTGCAGAAGTTATTTTAATAAGGTATAGTTTCAGATAAGAAAATATAAAAATTTTAGGTGATGGACACTTAAGACTGTATTTCCCTTCATCATATTTTTAAAGCAAAGCCAAACTAAGCACTTGCTGGCTTCTTAATGGAGCTGACAACAATATGTACGAAAACTCTCATCTGGATGGCAAAAAGGTGACTGCTTAATAGGTTTCTTTTCTTATTTTAGAACTTTGACTACTGGCCGCTTAAGGTGATTCCGTAGTAAAAGAACCTAACATAGATTGTAGATAAAACTTGGTACACTGATGTAACAAGTCAAGAAGACGATGAAAAAGTAAAAAAAAGTTGGGGCCACCATGCTCGTTTTCACGTCACAATGCTGACAAATACGGCTATTTTGGACCCTTTGACAAAAACTGTGCGCAGCCCAAAACTAGACAAAAAGGAAATATTTTTTCGATGATGCATGTGGTATCGCACAGAATTTGCCTTTAATGTATTGTTTATCCACTTACATACCAGAAAAATGCCTTTTAATGCCCTTGTTTTTACTTTACGCTCCAAGATAGAATTGAATTGGACACACGCTATTCGATCCGTGATAGCTCAATCCGTACAATTTAGTAGAATTGCCAAAAAACTGAACATAGATTTGTGCCAATTTTTTTCTTATCGAAAGAAAGCACTGTCCTTATTAAAATCATGAAATAAAAAATGGGGGTAACTGTACTCGTTCTTGCGGTAGCGCTGCAGAAAGTGTGCACCAAATGCATTTTTTCCGATTTTTGAGAGAAGACTGGGGTGAGTTTCAAAATAGAATGTATGTGCAAGGGGGAAGAAAGTATTAAAAACTCTGTTTTTACAGAATTTATATCGAGATATCACATTTAGGGCACAAGGTGATAAAGAAAGCGTTTAAATGAAAGTCAAAGTGAGTAAGCAGTCTAAGCACAAGTTAAACATTCACTATCGAGGTTCTCTGAGAGGAAGTCGAACTCACCAACACGCGTACTGCTTACGTTATGCACATTCCCAACACATTGAATCTCACCTCGGCAAGAAACAACCGTAAGCAAAAATTCCAATAGCGTTTCTCTTCAGTCAACTTCATTTTAATAATGTTACTTCACATGCTCTTTATTAAGGCGGCCATCTTGTTATGCGCAGTAAGAGATGCGCAGTGCAAAACCAGGGAATCACCTTAATGAGGGTGTCGGCCACTAATAACAGGTAGCTGCTTATTGGAAGTTCAACTGCAGTAATTCTGTATGTGAAATTAAATGAATCAGTAACTCTCGTCTCTTGTCTTCAACAGGGTAGCAAAATGAAAAGATTTTGTCTTAATCAGGGTCAGCCTTTGAAGGCCTCAGTAGCATGTACCTCTACCTAAACCTCTCTTAAGAGTCACCCACCAGGCCGGGAGGATTTTAAATGTTTGAATTGACTGGTGCATAAGGCCACATAGGCAAGAACAGTAAAACACTACCTTCAACACTTTCAGCACAGCAGTTGTCACTCATCATCTTCAAAATGATCTCTTTGAATTTCTTACACTGGGTGTCCCAAGGAAATGCCTTGTTGTAACTTTCTCTGAGATTAATAGACATGTTGAGTCTCTCATCCGGCTTGTTCTTGGACAGTGTTCTAATTTTTTGGGACCACTCTTTGGGATCTTCTGAGTCAATGATCACAGATTTCCCACCGTCAACTTTCTTTAAAGCTTCAGCTATTCCAGATTCACTGGTAAGAAGAACAGGAACACCAGCAGAAATGGCTTCCAAGGCGATCAGACCAAAGCCTTCAGTACGAGAAGGCATAGCAACCAAGTCTGCTGCATAGAACATTTCTTTCACCTCCTCTTGATTACAGTAACCACGTACTGTTAACTGCCTCCTTGTTATGTTTGTATTTTGTAGAAACCAGTCCATTATATTTCTATGTTGGCCTTCAGGTGAACCAACAAATGTCATCTTGAACTTCTCCCCAAGAGAACCTAATGCACTGGCAATAATATCATAACCCTTGAGCGCCAGATCTTCATAAGATCCTCTCCCAAAGACAAAGACACTGAACTCGTCAGGACTATGCGAAACATTGGCAAGTTTCTGATCTGAAAGACTGACAAATTTATCCAAAATTCCAGGGGTGATGCAGTGAACATTCGTGTCTGGGAGACATCTGCTGTACTTTTGCTGGAGTCGTGAGCCAACAGCGACAACGGCGTTTGATTCTTTGCAGAGTTTGATTTCCTCTTTGTGCTTCTTCTCATTCTCTTCTACTGCATCTGTTTCCGTTTGTTTGTACTTTCCAAGGTCTTCGCAAGATACGTGTACAAACTGCACCCATTTGCAGTTTGTATTTTGTACAATGCAATAACAAGGGGTGCCAAACTTTCGCCCATGGCCGATCACAACATCAGGCTGTGGGAGATCCGAAGGAGGAAGTCTCAGCCATTCAGAACGATCATGAGTTCCCGGCACACTCTTTGCTGTTAATAAACTTACGCCATTTTTATTAGCATCTTCTCTGTCCGATTCACTGCTCTGGCAGACATAGCAGTGAACAGCAAAGTCATCCCTCGATGATTTAGCTAGATTGATGGCAAATTCTCTATTGAAAGTGGACAAACCGCCCTTATTAGAGTTCCACTCGTCGCACACAAATAAGACTTTCACAAGCTTCGACTTAAGAATTTTTCTTGATGTGCTTGGTGTCGAATCAGGAAAAGCGTCATGAAATGCTCTCTTCATACCTTACTGAGATCTTTGAGGAAAAATCAGCCTGGAGTATTTTTCGGGCGAGTGAGCGCTGGTATTCCTTCAAAGCCAGGATGGCTGTCTGGAAAGTGTAACGGGGAGTACAGGAGAATTTACACTTGCCCGCAATAGCGACGAAGGGTCGAAGCTAGACTCTCTCTCTCTCTTCTCGTGAAAAAATTTAAGCTCGAGTTGTAGGTATTAAAAAAAGAGTCGAAGACGAAGCTGGCGAAAAAGAGCGCGACGAGCGCTTAAGTGGTAGTAATTCCATGTTCATATACACCAATATAAAAAATCCAACTAAAACATCTCCATGTAACATGTAACTATGTGTCACTCAACATACCCATCACTACATAGGAACGAACTATCTACCAGGCTGATCATTACTGAGTATATAGATATAACGGCTTATGGTATTCGACGAAACGAAACGAAACGAAACGAAACGAAACAATCGGTATTCGACGAAACGAAACGAAACGAAACAATAAGTATTCGACGAAACGAAACGAAACGAAACAAGTACTGTAATTCGGTTAATACTGTAATTCTGTAATTCTGTAACTTGTAAAATCGCAGATGTCCCAAGCTCACGTTACGAGTTTGTTATATATGTGAATTAACTTTCTCACAAGAGAGTCGGTGTCGCGTTACAAACAACCGTTGAGACTTAAATACAATATTGAGATCTCCGAACGCTAAATATCATTATTCTTACTTATTTTTCTATAAAATAAATAAAGGACACTTACCTTTGATGTATTCCTGTGTTTTTTGGTTTGAAATCGGCGATTTGGTCGTTTTTTTGGCTGTTATTGTTTGACCCCTGTCACTCTCTTCATAATACGAAGTAAAACTAAGGGAAAGTTCATTTAATATGACAAGGGGGCGGGATGAAGATATTGAGGGGGGGCTCCGAAAATTTTTAGACACCCGAAGGGGGGGCTCTGAAAAAATTGTTGCGCTAGGAGGGGGGGCTCCGAAAATTTGTATACTTCAAAACCAACACATGACATCATCATACAGATCGGATGGTTTTCAACTTAACAATTTAATGACCTGTGCAACTCAGCTATATCACGTGGTTTACAGATATAACAAATGTAGTCTCAGTAATTATTACACTCTTGTTCATCCCAAAAATGCTTTAGAAAATTGTATCACAACTGTATCTCAAGTTTGTCATAGTATAAACCATTGAAGACAATAACGGTAAATATATTTAATACAGTCTAGCGATCTTTTTTCAGGGGAGCAAAGGAATTGAAGGAGGAGGGGAGGGGGGGGCTCTGGAATTTTTTCGACTACCAAGGAGGGGGCTCCTAAAAAATGGAACCGCTAGCGAGGGGGGCTGCTAAAATTTCAAGCTTCGAGTTTCAATATCTTCATCCCCCCCCCCCCCCCCCTGTCATATTAAATGAACTTTCCCTAAAGGCAGCACAGAAAAACAGCCGGCGGTCCGGACCTTGTCTATTCAAAGGCGGTTTGCGGCCCCAAAAACACATCGAATGGCAGATTTTTTCGACCAGAGGAAAACTTCTATCATCGTTACGCCGCAATAAACGTTTAAAAGCGACGCATGTCGCTGGAACATTTCCTCGAGCCATGTCCAAAATACCTCCTGTCTCCGGACACTGTGATACGGCAACTGGACACGGCGTTGGTCCGAGGACAAATTTCCCTCGACCGAGGGTGGCTCAGTCAAATTAACTGAAATTTCATTTCAAGATTTTTAGTTCGTTTTCACGTGAGAATGATCATTCTTTAGGTTTATAATTTTAACGGGTAAAACTGTTATTGATATCCAAACTGACAGAAAACGTTTGTTGCGGGTTTTCTTTGTTGACTGAGCCACCCTCGGTCGAGGGAAATTTGACCTCGGACCAACGCGGTGTCCAGTTGCCGTATCACAGTGTCTGGACAAAGAAGGTACCATAAATCCTCTAGTAAGCCCCCGGGGGGGGGCTTATTTATTTCAAGCCCATTTGAGGCGGAGGGAGGCTTAATAGAGACGGGGAGCTTATTTGAGAGGAGGGGCTTATTTAATTTTAAAACGACGATGGCATCAGTTCTCCATAAAGAACTAGAATACAAAGTGCAAAAGCTCAAGTACATGACGTTTTAGGTCATGCAGCCGAGTACTAGGATCAAATCCGATCTTCCATTTGGTACATAAACCATCCCGGATCAGTCCACACGAATTTTTACGGTCGTGATTAATTAATACAGTCTATCATTTATTAGTGAAGAATAAATAGAGGAGGGGAGGGGGGCTTAATAGAGAGGGGGGCTTATTAACTTTCTTCCCCCGAAAAGGGGGGGCTTATTAGAGGGAGGGGGCTTATTTGAGATGGGGAGGGGGGCTTAATAGAGGATTTACGGTATTTCGGACATGGCTCGAGGAAATTTTCATTACCAGCGACATGCGTAAGAGTTACTTGCTAGCCGAAAAGTCGCAGTGTACGATGACTGAAAGTACAACATGCAAGTTAACATTTTTTTAAACAGTTTCTCGCGGGTGTATACCTGTTTTTTCCTTTCCTGAAACTCACATTATTGACATTTTAATTCAAAAAACCCTCACTGGCAACTAAATGACAAATAAGTAGATCGAAGATGAACGATGAGGTGAAAAAACAAACAAAGAAAACAAACGTGTTGAACTTATCAACAGAACAAAGCAAACACCCTCAGAGTAACGCCTTATGGCCCACGGCTACTTAAGTCTCTTATAGCTTGCCAGTTTCGGTGTATTAGTGTTAGAGTTACAGTTCGATACAGTTGTTATTATCGTTGTTGTTTTTGAGAGGTCGGTTTTAGCTATAAAGGGTGGTAAGGAGCGAACCCCAGCTTACACATAAAAACGTTTTCATTATTGATTGATTTCAAAGTTCAAGTTAGCGTACATTAGAACCCAGGATTTGAACAAATAGCTACAAGTTACTTATTTCCAGGAAGCTGAAATATTTATTCATTAGGTGATTCTGGAACTGATTAAACATGTAATGATTATATATAGTAAATGTGTGTTTTATCTCTCTTTTTTTCGATGAGGAGAATGCTGATCATACCCTTGGCTTAACTACTGCGAAGACAAAAGAGATGTTTCGATTGCTGCATAAAAAAGAAATAATAATACTAATAATTAACTAATTTCATGAGAAAGGCGCGCAGTTTTCTTAAAATATCTGGCAAGAGTAGTAGCCAGCAGTAGGTTACGAGTCTTCTTTCCCTTCTTGGTTTGCTTGTTCTGACAGGGCACTATTCACCCTGACTATTTCAGAACAAGGCCAGTTATGTAAAGAATTTGAGAGCATTTTTTCATCATTTACCAACTAAACCCCCGGCGTTGGTATTTAGCGAAGCAAGAAGACTATCGTGACCAAAATTACGTATATTTACCCCGTCTGACACAGCAATGTTCGCTTTATGATAACAGCTGTGATAAGGCCGTTTATGATAAGAATTTGAGATCATTGTTTAGTCAACTACCAACTGAGCCCCCTTTAATATTTCGTGAAACAAAAAGAAGAAGAAGAATTGTTTAGGAGCTGAGTATTTTCCCCGTTTGATGTAGCAATGTCTCCTTTATCTGAGAGGGCATATTTTATGAAAAGAATTTGAGATCTTCGTCAATTACTGAGCCTCAGGCGTTGGTATTTAGCGAAACAAAACTGCTATCGTGTCTAAAGTGTTAGGAGCTGCAGAAGAACAATTACCACTTTTTTCTAGGGTCAAAGATTGTTTCGTTTCGTCGAATACCAATTGTTTCGTTTCGTTTCGTTTCGTCGAATACCATAAGCCAGAAAAAACCAGGGGAGTCCCCCAGGGGACGGTGCTAGGTCCAATATTGTTTTCTCTGATGATAACTGATATAAAGCCGGTTAGCCCCTCTAGCTTATTAGTTAAATTTGCAGATGATATCACAGTCAGCATCCCTGTTCGCGCTGAAGATAGCAACATAGCCGAGTCTGAAGTCAATTCAATAATGGAGTAGGCTGAAAAGAATCAAATGACACTCAATTTGAATAAAACTTGGGAAATGTTACTAAAAAGGAGTAGCCTGAAAGTTCCACCAGCTCCTCTTGCTATTGTGGAGCGTAAAACCAAGCTCAAGTTGCTCGGTGTTACATTCGAGGCTGACCCTGTGAACTGGGACACACATATTGATCACGTGCTTAGTATGGCCAGCAGTCGTTTGTATATTTTAAGGGTTTGTAGATTCTATGGCTACCCTAAGGAGCAATTAGATCTGCTCTTCCAAAGTCTAATTATCTCAGTCTTCATATATGCTATTGAGGTGTGGGGTTGCTGTTATTACGATAAATATCTAAAGAGAATTGACAAACTCTTTGCTAGGGCTTTTAAGTCTGGATACTGTTTGAAGAAATATAGTATTTGTGATATTTTAACAACCAGAGACAGCAAATTATGGAACAAGATCACATCAAATACTACTGCACTTGATGATCTCTTACCGCCGAGACGTACTAGGCATTTACGCAGCAGGGGCCATGATTACATATTACCGAGAATTCGTACTTCACGTTTTAAATCCACTTTTGTAAACAGATGTCTTTTTAGCATTGTCTGCCATTAGTAGCCAGTTGTATTTTTTATCTTAATTTGTTTCATATTTTATATTCATTGTAAATAAGGCACAGTTGATGCATTATTGGTTTTTCATAAAGACTATTATTATTATTATTATTATTATTATTATTATTACACACCACTACCCATACCTAATTATTCGATTAACCGCCCTGGGCGCTTATTAACTTTTTGGACCTTGAGAGTGGGCGCTTATTCGAAGCTGGGCGCTTATTACATTTTCATCATTTTCAGCAAGTGAAGTATGTTTATTTTGCAATAAATAACAAATGGTAATAACAAAACACGAAGATGTAACAAAGCAAGGTTTC